GTTGGCATTGACACTGTACGACCACTACTGACCAAGTTATTAACATATTATCGACTAGCTCATACTGTCCCAGCATGTCGTCAAGAAAACCATCATATATTACAGTGTTGTGCCAACAAACATGCATGGATTGCATTGAAACTGGACATGATACAATATCAAGTGTATACATGTATTGTCATGGCATCAAACTGGCATGATATCATGTATTGGTTGTGTAATAGACCATAATATATGCCAACAAAACGCTCCAAATCAGGCATGATTATAGTCGTAAATATATTATTGTGACTGTGTTGTTGGACAGTGACTATCAATGACTGTCAATAACTACTAGTGACTATCAATAACTGTCAATGACCATCAATAACTATCAATAACTGTAAAAACGATCAAGGTTTGTAGCCTGACAGTGTACAATCGAGTTTATTAAATCGTGTAATTCTGGTCGTTATTCGACTTTACCCAACACTTGAACACTCGATTGTTGCATACAGTTTGACAGTCGTCATACATGGCCATGTGTATGCTGTTGTATAACCAGAGACGCAGTAGTATTGCCATGTGTTGGTTGAATCGACATACTCGACACACACCAGTCAATGCAGTTTTGTCCGAATCCCTATTTTTGTTGGCTGTAGTTTTACACAAACTTGAAACAGTCGTCGTAACAGTGTTACTGTCATTGTCATCAAGCTGTAATATGTGTGACTGTAGTATTGGTTGAGCTATTGACCATGTATTCGAGTATGAACGACTGTAGTTTTTTACAAACAATTGGTCAAACAACTGGTCAAACAACAGTCAAACAACTGGTCAGAATGCAGGTCTGGACAATCGTCAAACAACTGGTCAGAATGCAGGTTAAATACTAGTTAAAATACTCGTCAAATACTCGTCAAAATACTGGTCAGAATAACAGTCTAAATACTAGTCAGACAACTGGTCAATATGTGGATTAAACAATCGTCAAACAATCGTCAAATACCGGTCAGAATACTAGTTTAAATACTCGTCAAATACACTCGTCAATTAAACTATACAGTGCATTTGATATTCATACATTACACAATCAATCGTTAGTGAATATGCCAGTCATCGATATGTATTGTAGTCAAGTGAATGTATCGGCCATTGTAACATGAATATATGATGTGTATACAGTCCAAACTACAGTGTAATATCGTGTGTTTTGAATGTGTTCCAGTTGCATCCAATTCAGTCGGCAGTCGTGACTATGACATGTTTCCAATTTAGTTGACGATATGGCCTGATGCATGTCCAGTATATAGTATGCATGTATACTCATGTTCAGTATCAATCGCATGCAACTAGTGTCACTATTGGTCAAAATATATCCAATCTTGGTATCATGTCAAATACTAGTGGTAAGTATAAATTGTATATTTTTTTGTAATTTCATGACAATACATGCATGCATCATACATACCAATGCAATATCCATATACTGTAGCAGTTTAATGCAACTAGTGTCAGTATTGGTCAAGATATTCGACATCAAACACGCCAAAACGACACTTTCGGACATGCATTTGATGGTCATGATACACATTGATATACTGCCCCAATGACGACGTAATCATACACACAATACATGACTATATGTGTGCCATACATTGCAGTTGATTTCGACATTGTACGACCATTGTAGACCGAGTTATTGACACGCCAAACATCGACTATAATATCCAACCTACAAAACGTCAGCTATTCAATTACTGTGTTATCAAACATGCATGGATTGCATTGAAATTGCACATGATACAATACCAAGTATATACAAGTATTGTCATGTCACCATATCAGCACAGGCTTATGTATTGGTTGTGAAATCGACCATTTAGTACGCGATTGTGATGATGCAAATGATCCACTTTGAACGCATATAACTTGGCCAATAGCAGTTATTTCCCAGCCATATTTAAACTGATTGTGTATATAGTATATCACCATTGATTGAGCATGCATATGCACGGTTTGCAGACATTTATAATTCGTGTGAATGGTG